TACTTTTTATTTTATTTAGTGATGCTTCGCCAACGATGTTGACTTCATTATACTATTTAGTTATAAAATGACATCTAGAAGAAAATAACCAATGCATTTAATATATTCGGTCTATGCTATTGATAGTGGAAAGAACGAAGAAAAATCTAACAGAAGACATACATATCATTTTGTAGCCAAATAGTCTAATAAAGTCAGCATCATTGACGAAGCATTACTAAATAAAATAAAAAGTAAAAGATTAAAAAATAGGAAGAGAAAAATATTTTAAATATCAAAAAAAAAACTTGATATTGTTCAGCCATTTCGAAAAAAGCAGAGTTTAAGAGTAACATTAACTCTGAGTGATAGGTTTCTCGTTCTATTCAGCAAATATGAACATAGAATCATTTGTATCTTTAATGGCAAACCTGAATTTGGTAGAAAGTAAAAACGTCGAAAGTAAGAATGTAGAAAAATAAAAATGTAAAAAAATAAGAATGTAGAAATGAATTATTTTCTCTACGTTTTTATTTTCTACATTTTTATTTACGGCGTATTTATTTTCGACATGTTTACTTTCTACCAAATTCACGAGAACCGTGAAAATGTCGAAAAAAAATGTCGAAAATCCAGATGTCGAAAGGCAGATTGTCGAAATGAAAAAATGTAGAAAAAAAGCAGGAAAAGAGAAATATCAAAAAATGCCGTTGAAAAGATATTCTACCGACTGAAGATAAAAGAACAATTATCTCTTAATTAGTTTATTCATTTGTCTATGAATTTGATTGTTACGTTAAGAGGATCTAACAATAATGATTAATTAGTAAAGTGTCTATATATAGTAGCTTGTATTCATTGCCATACATTTCTGTTTATTTATGTCTTATTTTGTCCTGAATATCATCATGAGTAACACGCTCACAATTACCTTCTCGGAAAGCTATAAAGGCAAGCGTGTACTTATCAATGATGGTTTTGCGTATCACTTAAAGAAATCATGTGCCAAGGTCAAGTACTGGAAGTGTCAAAACCGTCTCTGCGTTGCTATTATTCAGACTGATATCAACGACCAATTCAAGTTACCAAAAGGTGATCACTCAATTCATCTATCGTTGCCAGAGCACATTGAACTTCTTAACTTTAAATCTAATATGAAACAACGCGTAATTACCGAAGCTACACCGGTTGGCCGTATTTACGACAAGGAATTCAATCGTCGTGTCGATAAGATGCATCCTAATATATGGTATTTTATTGATGTACTCAAGAGAAGAAGTTCATTTCCAACAACAACTTCTTCATGCTAAAAGTGGTTTGCTCAAGAAAAAGTTGAAAAGAACGTGTATCATTCAAGAATGTCTCGAACTTTTAGCTGCTCATTTTGCAAACAATGAAATGGATCTGAATGAATACCTTGAAGGTCTTTCAATGATCGTTGCAAAAGATAAAACAAAAAAGACTTAACAACTGAACTAAATAGGTTTTTCAATTGTACACTACGACTGATGATGTCTTTTTTTTTCTTTTCTTGGAATATTGTTAGTCTTGATATACATTTTTTTGTCTTGACTTATTGTTAGAGAGCACTCTAACATACATCTTTATTTTATCTCTTTTCTTCAACTTGTGTGTGTGTATGCGTCATCATTCGGATATACGTTATCCACCCTATATACGAAGGTCAATGTATTTCTTTTTTTGTTCTCCTCTCTTTCTCTCTCCTTCTTTTCTCCTCTTCAATTCTGTCGCCCGTGAGAATTTCAATACATTCTCAGTCTTTTCTTCTCTTCGTTAAACTTAAGGGCATTTAATAGAAGATGTCGGACGTCATCTTCATAATTAAATAGTCCATGCTGGAGTTGAAGATACATATTCACCACTTTCATTTTTCTCTCCTTGTATTTTACTTATCTCTCTATATCTCTCTCTCTTGCTTTCTCGATGTGAATATATATATATATTTTTTTGGTTTATATAAGATTGGGAAGAGGGTATAAGGAAAAAAATGGAAATTAAGGGTTATTGTTGTTGGTTATGAAGAAAACAAATTTTCTATCTTCTATTGATCTACGTTACAGTGAGGGCCTCAGTAACAGGCTTCTTGCCAAATTTTTGTCTCTTGTTGTCATAAAATTTATCGAGAAGTCACCACCTATCTGTGGAATATTTCGGTTGGATTTTGACAGAGAAAATCCAACTTCCCAAGAACTACTTACAAGCAGTGTCATCTTTAAAGCGAACAAAGAATTTTCAAGTAGATACGTACATATATGGTAGAACACATTTTATCCACACTTTAACTAGCTGTAAAGCTAAAATACTACATAGGTGATCAAAATATAGTTTCAACGTACAGTTGGACACACTGTCAGAGCTCAACAAAGGTTTAGGTAAAATTACATCTGGTATTAAAATGTGAAACACGATGAAGCGGTTTTAAGTACCGCACATACTAAAATGCCTGCCACGATCTGTCGTGAGTTGAAAATAGTACATCAGTTTGTTTGTTAAAGTCTTTACTGAATCGGGGATCGTCCGATTTTCTCATTCTATATACTAACACTCATGAATAGTCGTGTTCAAGAAAACTGTTGAAGTGCTGCTAAGCAGAAATAATTGATTACTTTTTGAGAATCTTCCAGAAAGTTGTCGGTGACTCTCTTTACCACATTTGTTATACACTGTGAGGAAGAAAAGCATCCAGATTATTTGTTATGTATTTCAACATTCCATTTAGAATCATGCTTCCCCAAACATTGTCTTGCATTTTCTTCTTAACACTCATGAATGATTTTGTTTCATTTTCTTTTTGTTCCTTGGTTGTTATTATGTGTCTGTTACTCATTATTTTCTATCTTTTATTATCGCTCCCTCTTTCATTATGGTCATATAATAATCTGCTAAGTCAAATGTTCATATAATTTTCGCCGTCTGTTGAGCATCGTATAATTTTATCATGTCCTGAAGATGTGTCTTTAAAAGACCTCATCGACTCTCAAATGATTTCGTGAATCATCTTGTTGCTCATATCAGCAGATAGCCATTTCTCGAAAACTGATTGATTGCGGAATGACTTAGCTGGTTCCATAAGCACATTAAAGCTTCTTAAGTAGTCTGTGTAATTCCTTTAGCAGCGGCTTTCGATTTTCTTAGTAGTCTTGTCTTCGAAACATGTCCTACATTTTGCGACAGTTGTCTGTCACTGCCTATGTTGAGATCTGTTACTTTCTGTGATCAATGTCTCTGGCAATATTCGCCTGTCTTTTCTAACTTTTAATTGAATAAGCTTACATTTTTCTTTCACAACACTCAGGATAAAAATTGAAAGTGAGTCTCGAAGTCCAATATAGATTATACTGTGAAACTCACATGTGTTTTCGGAGAAAACAGTAAGTGTAAGTTTTAAGTCGAGCTCTTGCGGCTCCTCCTTCCCATTACAGACCTTAACATCCGCGAACAATATGAGTCAACTTCGTTGTCTTGAGTTCAGTAGCAACGAGAAAAAAACACTGGACGGCATGAACGACAAAAAGTTGACTGTTCTGGAATATTTCAAAGCCTTTGTCGAAATTTCAATGGGTAGAACACTTTTGTCAATATTATGAATAGTGCAGTTTTTTATTTTTGCTCAAATAAAAATCAATCGTAATATATTATAGTTCGTTGAGACTTGCTGTAGATATAATGTATATTTTGTATAGCAAGCTTATTTGCCAGTTCAATCAATGATTAGAATGATAATACAGTTAAATTAAGAAAATGTGAATACGAAAACAAAATGGGAAAAACAAAGACAATGAACGAATAGCAACAATTTAAACAAAAGTAGAGGGCCACTACAAGAAGAAGATTCTTTTCAAAATGCAGAAATAAATAAAGCATATTGTTTTTCTGTCTATCGGTTATCTTGGAAAACAACTATAATGTGCGACAGATTTTTCATTGTACATATTGTGTTTTAGTATAATCACACTAAAGAAATCATGTGAGTTCCACATTTCAGCCGCAAAGAGGCTGCTCTAACAAGATTTGTTTATCTTGCAGCTGACAATAAGTAAGTTGTAATCCGTTTGTTAGCATGTGCCATGTGCAAACGTGAAGAGAAAAAGTAATTAATCCAATGATAACCTTGTATGATTACACTGAGCCGTAGTGTTGATCAAAAATTGTTTGAAATTGAGAATAACAACGTTATAAACAAGCATACAATGATGAAGCAAAACTTTGCAATTACCTACGACAGAGAGCTGGTAATGGAAAGAGAACATTGTGAAAAGGAGGGATGCAAATTAGAAAAATGTTCTCGACAACTTAATTGAAGAAAAGAAAGTTGTGCTCTCAACATGTGATGAATTCAACATCTCAATATGAAAACCGTTAAAAAGGTTTGATTAATCGCCAAAAACGCGTTAAAACAGTTCAAGATAAATAATTCTTTAACGCGTGTTTTATGTTTAAACGCTCAGAGTTAATGAAACTTTCACTATTTTAACGCGTTTTTAGCGACCAATCAAACATTTTTAACGACTTTTTATGTTTTTGATGAAAACGTCTGATAACGGTTAATAAATATTTCGTTTAAACTATGAATTGACAATGTATGGAGTGTTTCAAAAGGGTGTGGGTAGAGGAAAACCAATGATCACTAACGTGTGCATGGGGCGTGGTAGTGTGCAGGCTCCAGTTTGCATGAAGAGAAGTTCCACTCTCACATTCACACCCACACCCAGTTCACGTTTCTCTAAAATACATTTCATCGATGTGACTGTCAACATTGTAATACGTCATAGACTATATGTGTTCACCTCCCCAGGTCGAACAAGCACGGTCGTAAATGACCGTATACGGAGAAAAAAACGATCCTTTACGGTCCTCGTATACAGAGTCCGTATATGATCTCCGTTTTGCTTCGTACTTCTCGGTATACGATCGTTCACAGTCGTATACGAAGTTCGTAATCGTCGACCTGGGTCGTCTTCATAAATGGTGCATTTTTTTCATTAGTATGCTATTTATTATCAATAACTATCCACATGACGGGCAGCTACCATCATCATTAAAATAAAAAAGCAAAAATGCAGTGATAGTCTATAATCAGTAGCATTTCCTTGCATAGATGTCTCAGACGTTGCTTGTGCCGTAATGATTGCTGCTGTTGTTGTCATCGTTGTTATTTTCGTTTTTGTTGTTGTTGTTGTTGTTATAGCTATGCTCGATAGAGTTGTTTTCATCGTGGGCTTTGTCGTTCTTGTTGTTGTAGATGGTGTTGGAAACAAAGAAGAATCAATATTTTGTATCCAATCGTACGATATCGACGTAGCGAAGCCTACTCGATTGTTTACTATATCGAAAACTGAATAATAACGATAGAGAAAGAAATCTCCTAAGATCCAGATAGAACTACCACTGGAATCTGTCGAATAATCTGGAGTGAAGACGCTAAAGCAAACGTAACCATTCGACTGATTACCAAGAATCAGCAGATATTGGAGTGGTGTTAATGTAAATACTCTATCGTTCATTGTGAAGGTAACATTGGGAAATGAAGATAGTGAACGAGTTTGACAATCGATCGTATACTTAAAGAATGAGAAGATTTAAATGCTATCCTCTAGGTAGAACAGCAAGAAGAAGACATACCATTGTACTAAGTGCATCGTAGGTACCACCCAGAGCAGCATTCAATGCAGTAACTTCAGTTTTAGGCCCGATGATGAATGTCGTACCTGTATCAACAACAGCATACGGTGATGAACTTACAATAGTTGATCCGACGCTTATACTGTTTAAATGAGGATCAAAATAGAAGCAAAAAGATTGCTCAATTAAGTGTTACCTACGTAGTTATTAGGAACTCCCAATATCCTTCTACTGCAACAGAAATATAAGTAATAGAACCAGTGTATTTGCTTGGGTCTGCACCACCGAGCGTGAGTTCGCCACCGGATTCGGCGTTTGTATCACTGAAGTGAAGTTTTACATAGTAACTATTTAGACTCATTCATGAAGCACTTACGGATTTAAATAGAAGGAAAAAATGGCCTCTGGAATGAGTCCTTCAGACCACATGCTGTAGAAAAGTGGTTTCTCACCGGCTTCTGCCAAGTTTGGATAGGCGAGACCCAGAATACCATCGTTGGCATTACCACTCATATTTTTGAGAAATGTGCATTCAGCAAATGTTTGGTTTTTGACTGAAATCCCATTGATCTAAATGAAATAGTCATTCAGCAACTTAGCATCTATTAAATGAAGAAATGCTTTTTTTTCACTTTTCTTCGAAGTGTAAAAATACAACTAAGTTATTTTCATTATTAATTAACTAATTTGTTCTGGTTGAAGAAATAAGTGCAGAAAACTAAGCGACAGATTCACTGATCGACGATTATGCGCTACGGCTCTACTAACTTTTCCTCACTATCAAGAAACTCGTGTGAAATGACGATGCAAACGCTAAAGAACAACATAGATACAATTTTATCTATTCCAGATTAACTGTGGGCTCCAGCCTGTAAACTATTGAATTTTATATTACTTAGTTTCGAATAATCAGCTCATATCTGTGTCAAGATCGAACTAATCCATCTTCATACTTGATGTCACTTTATAAACTTGTCTCTTTTATCTCAAAAATGTTACATTAATTTACTGTGACAGTATCGACACTAAGATAACCATTTGCGGAAGAACCATCATTATACGTGATTGAAAAGCTGGTTCCATTGGCCATATATGTTGTCGACTTTGTCGAAGTATACTTATTGAAATCATCTAAAAGATTAAAACATGATCAAAATCTATATATCTGAGTAAATTTCGATAACTTACTACAAGACGATTTACAGTTGCTTGATGGCACCCATAGATCGGAGGAACCTGTATCGAAATCGATAAGAAAGTTTTGAGGTGGTGTTCCGATTGAAATCGTTCCGATGAAATACATCTATTAAGAAAAACGGTGTTTGAAAATTTACAGTAAAAAAAACTACCAATGTGAATATTCCTATGCCAAGTTTTCTGTTTATGTCTATATTTCGGGTTATATAATCTTTCAGATACTTAACATCTATTTTTTTATTTCATTTCATTCCATTACATCAAATTATGATTGGAAAAACTACGTTTTACGTTCCATAAGATGAACTTAAGGATAATTGATAGTCGCTTACATCAGCTTCATTGGTGAGATTTTCGTAAATAGAAGAATTTGCCATAGAAACTTTGCCAGAAGTGCGAGAAAATATTTGACAGATTGTCATATTTGTTGGCAACACTGTACAATTTTTTCTGGTGGACGACCGTGTTTGAACGCGATGAACAGGAATTCTAGAAATTTATAATAAATAAATTCATTTACTGATTCCGTTTACCTAAAAAGTTTACCGAAATACATCATTGCCAATCGACTTCTCATCGCATAGGGCGACCATAATGAGCATAAGTAATGCAGAAATTACTTTCAACATCATGCTTTTCATATTTGCTTTCTCCCACCGAGTATTAATCAAAACTATAGTAAAATTTAAAAAAAACAAATCATTTTAAACACAAGTGATTAGGAAAGCAATGAGCAATAGAGTGATGTTGTATGGGGATAGGTGACAGAAAAAATAAAAGGATTCTTTTCTATTTGTCAGTCGTTCTATTTGAATGGGCGTATTTGTACTTTTGTTAACGAAAATATTGTTTTTTTATCTATATAATGTTAACTCATTGTAAAGCTGCTGCTTTTTCATTGGTTTTTACCAGAATGACTCAGTCGAGAAAATGTTCTTGCAAAGCAAATTACCGATGTTGAGAGATATAGTAAAAAAAGAGACAAAGCAAAATACTTAAGTTTCTTCTGATGCCAAAAAAGTAAGTTAAGGCGAATCAACAAGATAAAAACTCTCAAGTCTTTCTACGTATTCATACTTGCAAGAAGAACGAAATGGATATATGAATGCAGTGACTAGAGAGAAAAGAAAAATGAATCACTTCTGAATTACCTTGTATGATACAGTCTATCAACGAAACAAAAAATGTCCTTCGAATGGTACGGTACAAGCTCTTAGAGGAAATCATCATTTTATAATTATATTAAACAGCTCACATGAATGTATCATGATTAAACCTTTTTTCTTGATTACTTAGCGTGGAAACTTATTTGCTTTTGAATTATTTTGATGGGAAGTATTAAATGTCAGCCGTTTTTATCTAGATTAGACGAACAACTAGCTGATGCTCTCTCTCTCTCTTTTATTTATGTACGTATTTTCAAACTTTGCCATTCCTTTCACGAAAGACATCAGTTGTAATAAAAAATTAGACGAATATTATTTAAATATCTGCAAAAATGTATTAACTAGTGTGTGAGACAGGGACGCAGCCAGAGAGGAGATTGGGGGGATCAATCCCCCCCCCCCCCCGAAAGATTGAAATACCTGGAGGGGGGGGGGGGTACGGACTGATTCGTTCTTACAATCTAAAACGCACCTTTTTCCTATGACGGTCCCCTCTGCTAAGAATTCCTGGCTGCGTGTCTGCCAAATATGACATTTTTTTTCAGCTTCGAAGCGAACTAAGTCTCCTTTTCAAGATCTCCGAGATTTATGAGCTCCAGGTGACATAATTTCACAATATGTATGGGATCATCCATTTACGACGTTGAGGTAAAAATTGCATTTTTATCTCCTCGTTTCCATGTCTAGATTCAAGGACCTCCTCCGCCCCTTCTCCAAATCTCTGATTTCACAAAAATTCTATGTCTCATAAAAACGAACAATCGATTTCACAATTCGTCAAAAAATCACCTTTTTCGTAATGAGGTTCTTGCTTCGCACCACATTAAAAATAAACTTTCAGAAAAAGCATGCTTGATCAAGCATACTGCTTCATTTTTATTAAATAAAATTTCATTAAATAAAAATATTAAAAATAGAAATAAATCTATGTATATCAAGAAAAAAAAAGACAAAACATACATTTCATAAATAACAAACCAAAATATAACCTAGTTCAAAGTTTTTGTTTGATAAAATCATTGTATTTTAATGAGTAGATAATAGCAAAAATATTAAAAAAAGGAATAAAAAAGTGCAGTTCAATACCAATGGCACTCAAAAATATAGCAATGTTAATATTACTGCTTCGCTAAATAATCATCTACTCCTGTAGTGTAATCTTCAATTATTTCACAACAATATTCCTATTTCACTGTTATCTTTGAGTGAACAACTCCATGTGAAAAAAATGAAATTTACTGCGTTTTTAAAGTAACCTTCAAGAATTGTTTAACATCGACTAAAGTCAGTCCGCAGTTTTTTGCGTACATCAGCGTCACTGATAAAAACTACGAAGCATCAGTGTTATTCATTCTCGAGTTATTTAAAGTACATTCGAGTCTCTTCACTGATTTATGTTGTTTTTAACAACGAGATAATAAAATCATCTTTTCAATCAGACAGCAATTGACATGAATTTTATGAATATTCTTTTTTTTTGGCTTTTACTTAGTACTTTGAACTCGATTTCTCTTGTAATGAATTGTTGATTGTTTATTTTCTTAATTATTTAACTCTTTGAAAATTGCACGTACACCGGAAAAATTGGGAAGTACATCTCTTCTATGCAATGCGAATATTTGTTTGCCACGATTTTTATTATCTTCAACAAATCTTTTACTACTCATTACATTTGTACGAACATTACAAGAAAGAGAAATAAGAAACGTGTAGTCAAATGTACACGGTTTTTTGCTGAAAGCATTAAAGCATAATCATATGAATTAGTTATTTAACTGATCCCCATTAAAAGAAAACCCGTGAGACAATGCCTTTCAATGAATTAACACGAGTGTTTTGAATAAAGATACCATGCATTAATTGTTTTAATTAATGTTATATTTTTCTTTCTTTCTACTTACCTTTATACAGAGAATGATTTAACCAAGGTCTATTGATGTGAATCAAGCTACAAGTGTATGCAAAAATCTGTATTCTCAATTGTCAATATTTTTACACATGTAGATATCAATCATAGGCATGACTTTGGTTAGTTACAATGTGAAATACTGAATGATTCATAGTAAACAATTTCGGATAGCAATTGTTTTGTAGTGAAAAGACTCTGAGAAGTTTTTCATCGTGTTACGATCAGGATTTTGTTAGGATTTAAATGGTTTCTAAATGAAAAAAGAATTCTGTCTAAATCTTGCAGAATTTCATCAGGTTTTTTCAAGAATGTTACGTGATTTCTTGGCACGATCTTTGCAGAATTTTCTAAAGAGCATAGAAGAGAAATGAACATATAGAGTATAGATCTCTGAACCTTCAGTTTACAAACCGATTAGCTTATTCAGCCGGATTGTGTCATGTTATGATGTATAGCTACAAGCTTTCATATCTTAAATTTTGATTGAATCTTTAACTTATAATTGAATCTTATGCGAACACAAATTATCTCAAAAAACAAAGTTTTTTAATTAAAATAGCATTTCTTATATTGTTTTTACTTTACAAAATTTCACCACTTTCTTTTGTAGTTTCAATTCAATTCAAAAAATTCATTTTCAATTTTTTCTACACATAATCCAAACTACTACGAACAGTTTTTATCAAATGATTCGTCTCTTACTAAAAATAGCTGTTTAATCAAAAAAATTTGGTGCGATAATTAAACTGAAATTAATACCGTAATTTAGTATTTCTTTAAATTCTCTTTCAGGATAAAACCACAAAAAATAACTGGTGTTACTAAACTAAATCTCAAATCAATTGCAAATAAAAATCTTTTTCAGGTCTAAAATAAAATCTTCCGAGATTTCGCTAGAAGCACTATTTGTTTACACAAAGATCCAATCAAGATCAGGATGAAACCTTCGCAGACTCCTGAGTTCTGTCAGATTCGAAACAAAACATAATAAAAACTTGAAAAATTCTTTCATTTATTACTGTTGAGATTTTTNGACCAAGACATTGTTAAGACTGAACTGTGTAGAAAATTTCATCACGATCTGACTCTCCTTTCGAAAGTTATCGGATAAACGGACGGACACACTGACCGATTTTAGTAGTGTACTCACTTTTTGAGTACACAAAAAGGCTCATAGAATTGTACCGAAGAATGGTTCTATCAGACACATTCTTTAGAGAGTTTCAACTCTCAAAATTTTT